ATACTAGGAAAAATTCAAGAAAATCAGAAAATATGTTAAATTCTGATTATTTAGCTGCAATCGTCCATAAAATTCGGGCAAACTTTTAACAACCCCCCTCCCCCCGGAAACATCAGCCCCGTACGCTTATGGCTAGCGTTAGCACGCAGTGCATTGGTAATATCTTGATGAAAAACCTAACTGTATTCGTTGTGTTTCCAGCATTTGTAAAGTTGGCTTATTAGAAATGCCATTTGAGTAAAAGAAAGATAAAATTTACAAAAAAGTCAACAATTGCCAAAAATTGTCATTTGTAAATAACGTGGATTTGGCAGTTTTATATGAAGTACATGCATTATAATAAAAATATCTGTAAGCAAACCAAATTAACGTGATATGTACCGCGTTACTGCTTTAATTATAACATGTCAATTTCAGCTTTTTACACTTGTATAGTAAATATATAAATATATATATGTAGAAAATAGGTCAGTAATTGTTGGTATTATGTCAACGGAAGATGAAGTGTGTACGTCATTGCTTTTCAACCGTGACGATCTTAAGTGAGTAATCGGTTGTACCTGCTTGTTTCGTGGGGGCAGGATGTCAAACGTCCGCGTTGAACACCTCACTAATGCTCTATTAAATATTTACTGCTTACACGTATTAAATACTTCCCACCGGCTCTCACACGAGGCGTATTGCATGTAAGAACAGCTTAAAAGCACGTGCGATAATCCAGATCATCGATAACAGTTTCATTCAAATGATGTTACAATCCAAACCTTTCTTATTATCGTCCTAACACTAATAGTTGACAATTTTTGCCGTCTGCACATAATCTCGCGCATACTGAGTTGGACGTCACTGGTGGTTGCTCAACGTGTCTTCCCATGTGTCGCTGTTTATGAATACTGACCATAATTCTTGCCCTGGTCCAGAAAAAAAACAGCGAGACATGAAACTATATCCCGTCTTTGTCCTTCTGCTTTCGTGCAGAACGTAGTTCACAACGAATTTGGCCAAAATATTCGTTGTGAACGAAGGCAGAAGAACGAAGACGGGATATGGATTCATGTCTCGCTGTTTTATCCTGATCAGGGTAAGGATTTGGGTCAACATTCATAAACAGCTAGACATGAATCTCTAATCTGTCTTCACTCCTGACTGACCCTAAACTCAGAATGCGCAAGGTAATGTGCAAGACAGGCAAAAATTGTCAGCCATGTCGTCGTCGTCCAACTCGTTGTCTTGCTCAAACTCTCTATTATGCAGTATACAGTAGAGTACAACAGCGCACAGTATATTGCAGTACAGCATGTAATGTATAAAATCCGACTATGAAGTCTGCTTCACAGTGATATGCCTGCGCTGTCATTGTTCACAGCTGTGGATGCGTTCATTCTTTTGTGAATTATTTGGTTGAACTGCTGACGGCAATAGCCCGTCGACATACCACAGGTACATGTGAACCATGCCGCTTGAGGGGGGGATACCTGGGGATATCCATTCCGCGCAGTCCGCATAGGAACTGGAATGAAATATATCTGTTGTCAATGCCCCGTCACCTCTAATCCGACGTTCCTAAAGTTTTTTTATGCATCTCACTTAGAATATATTAACACATTTTTGTTTCAAGAATTTTGTCACCAAGTTACAGATAATGAGTGAGCAGACAGAAGGGCTCAATCCCAGTGGAGGTCGCGAATTTTTGGGGAATATTTGATCTGAGAAACGTCCAGACCTTGATTGAAAAATTCAGAACTTAACTAGTAATGTTTTGGGAACCATGCCGGCTCTAAACCTCTTCAGTTATATATTAGTGGGATTACGGGGGAAGCAGTGTTTTACAATGTATTACACTTTAATAAGTATTACACCTTATATTTTTCACTTAATTTAAGAATTACACCTTATATTTTTTACAAAGTGTAATACATTTTTCATTTTTTACTAACGAAAGCGTGTTCACTTTAAATTTTACATATTATCTGGCACTAACGCATCAAGAAGTTCTAAGGGCCTTTGGGGGGTCCCTTTTCATCTGGGGACCCGGGCAAAAGTGCCCCCCCCCCTTTACGGCCCTGGATAGACTGTTTGTATAAACCCTTGCTAAATTCTAGTATAGATATAGCAGTATATGCAATTCATACCAGTCAATACTCCAGAGTTTCACCCACGCAATTTTGCGTACGTGTACAATAATCATTAGTGGATATGTTTCTATATGACTCTCGTTATCCGAACAGATGTCTACAGTAATAACGTGCTTAACTCAGTCGAGGAAAAGACTAAACGCCTCTGCTAACAGCTGTGTACTGTATACCAAATTTAGAGCTGCCAGAAATGAAACCATCTGTTATGATACGATCTGACAGTGGGAGTGAATGCGTCACGTCTTCCACTCTTGCCATCCGACAAAGAGGATGTATGTCGGAATTACTATAATTAGAGGGCGGTTTATAGATAAACCACAAAAGAATATAAGTGTATCTGCTTGCATGGCTAAGTAGTGTACAGTTTTGGGTTTTCGCTAAAGTTTTCCGCGTTGTCATTTGTCTGTACGAGAGGGGTACTGTCGGAAAAGTTTAAATTCTTTTATTAACCTTGTTTATGTTTTAAAAATACGTCGACAACTATAAACTAGCTTCTCAATAGCCTGCGTGGCAGGCTCTGTGGGTTTGGGGGAGGCTAGCTTCTCAAGAGCACTAAAAAGGTGCTCAACTTTAAGACTGTTGACACTATTGATAGAGACAGGAGAATTCAATTCTATCCGTTTCACGGCATTTGCCTTCACTGCTGCACGTACAAGAATTAACATATTCTCAGTTCTGGGAAGTGCCGACTAGATCACCCTCTGCCGAGCCATCGTGTCTGTCGCGTGATAGTGCTTGCCTCTCGCAGGGGACAAAGCGTATTTTGCAAAAGGGACATGGGAATTGGAACAAAGCCAACTGATCATATGAGGAACCATAGTTAATATAATGAGACTATGGAGGAACAGGGCAACACCTTTTGTGGGGACCGGAACGGACATACTTCCAAGGGAACGCAGACCCCGAGAGACCCTCAACCCAGGGATGGCCCTTCGTTTGAATGCTTGCTGCCTTGCTTGCTGCAAACACACAGCTTGAAACATTCTTATGAGCATACCGCACACATTGTCACGCACGGAATATTTGATAATTGATGAATAAACCAAAAGTGACGCAGTGTACGTCTTTCTACGCCGAATGAAAAGGGTGCACGTTTTATTTGCTAGTCTCCTTAAAAAAATCGTGACTACGCTTATATATTTAGGCTGACTGTCTGTCACGTGTTTTCTTTTCATGTAGAAACGCCTCTCAATTTATTTGCCTCCAGACTATAACGTGAAAAGAATTGAAAATATAATCGCTATAATCCTGCAAATCTACACATGATGGACTGTGTGTGTGAACGCGTCAATGCTATTGTCGTGTGAGAAGAGGGTGAACTCGTGCAAGCAGTCATGCGATATCGCAATATTGCCCGATCTATTTAGTTCTTTTGTAGTTTTGATTGCAATTATACTAGATACTTCAACTGTGGGAATTTGTGTTTTGTAAGCTAGTTGCCAGTTTATGCGTAACTCCTTCGTATCCTTTTTGGGACAAACGTTTTCAAAACTAAGCAATATATCGTCATCGACCCGGCCCTACATGCCAACCGGATTTTACACTATTTCTGTCACCACAGTAGGAAGTTTTTTGAATCAGTGTTAAATAATGTTAATATAGTTTAGTTCTCCCATATATATTACCACTATTTTATAATTTATAATAAAAGAGATAACATTTCTGAAATTGACACCTTTAATTTAGCGCGCCTATCTCATATGACGTTATACAAGTGCAGACGCACTATGACTGCACTCTAAAAATATCAACATGCTAAAACATAAATGTTAGACATAACACTTGTTTAATCATATTCTAATGCGTTTGCAGGACGTCAGTGATGATATTTTCTCAAAAAGCTGGTGGGGTTTATTTAAACTTCATTATTAAATCGGAAACAAAACAAAATCGATCATATCCGGTCGCTGAATGCGCATGCGTCAGTACATATTGAACATAATTCTTGGTTGTTGTTGTGAGAAAAAAGTATAATTCCTTTGTCTGGCGTTTTCTGACACAAGAATTGCCTCGATTCATCTGTTTTTCGCTACATGAAATACTTGGACGTGAGGGAATTGAAAGACGAATTGTGGTAAAATGTTTTGAAGCGTTTTGTTGTCGTTTTGGTGGGGTAAAGCGACCTCAAACATGGCCGAAGGTTGTTCGCGTTCAGAAACACGAACGGTCGATATTTTGAGTTCAAGCCAACAAGAAGACGGTAGGAACTTCCCTGCAAACAGCCTAGCAATGTTGGGACGAAGGCCATTGAGTGATAGCTCTATTAAATACGAAGAGAACGCTTTTCACGACTCGTCCGAAGTGAAACTAGTTCATTTTGCCGAGCGACGAAATTCATTTTCAACGCAGGGAAGTAGCGATGGTGGTAATTCAAGCGACGATGGCTTGAAAGCGTCGACTTCTAGAGGACCTAAAGCACCAGAACAGTCATTTCGTATCAGATCAAGGAAAGGAACGAAACCAGCTTTTCATTGCGATTGTCCGCAGTCACAGAAATCTAAGAGAAAAGCCGCAAGAAAGTTATCAACCCTAACCACTTCGAGTGGATTACCCTTTCCCGTTTTGCCCGTCGAAACAAAATCTCGTCCTCGAAAAACGGACGGATCGTTTATGAAAAGAGTAAAGAAATTGTTCTGCGATTCGGGAAGCCCAACAAACTGTGAAGAGCTACGATTTCCTGACGGTACCAGCGCGTCTTCAAAGTCGACGAAGGCGATAAACGAAGCAGAACAAAGCCGTTGTACGAAGAAGGACATCCAAAAAAAGGAACGCCATTATATTATCGGAGATATTTTGGCAGTTACAAACTGTTCATATTATTGGGGCAGCATAAATCGCCACGAAGCTGAAGAAGTGAGTATTGGACAAACTATAAATTTGTATTTTCGGTTCATCGTTGTTCTGTTTACATTTGTTGCTTTATTTTGGTTTTCTTGACGCTGTGAGTTTGCGGTTTTAAATTAGCTATGATGCTCGGCAATCTTTTGTACTTTTAAACAATAGTTTTGCTGTTTTTTATCAGGTAAAATAGTGCAGAAAGGCCTTTAAATTTTTTTTTCAATTTTTATGTCCAAAACCCGAAAATTTTTAAACAGTGATTATGGAAATAGGCAATGAAGCGTGGTTATATGAATCAATATAAAACCGTTTCTAATATAGAAAATAAAAAGCTGTACATTTATTTAGAAAGAGAAACATTGAACCGTTTGCCCGACTTCAAAGATTTAAATAGATTTAATTTGCGGAAATTGACATTTTTTGAAAACTTTTATGGGATTGGTGCAACTTCACATTAAATTTAATTTGCCCGTTAGACACAGCTGGTTTCTGACAATATCTGTATGAATTTTGATTTTTTGAAACATTAAATTCCAGAGATCAGAGATCACAGTTTGCAAATAGCGTAAATTTTTTGATACATTTTCAACAAATTAGAATAAAATTTGTCACCGAAATGTTGTAACAAAATTTTCGAACATATCTAGTCACGTGCGTATCGTGTATATTTAATCTTGTATTATTGGCTTCGGTTCAAACTTTAATATATATGAGAAAATTAAAACCCTAATATGGCTATGAACAGTTAGGGGTCGCTAAGTGTATATTGGAGTGATGCATTCTAATATTGGGTTCAAAGCTTAGGTTATATAAGAAATGATATCATTTCAAAAGATATTCAAATTCTGAAATACAAAAGTTGTTGAGACCATCTGGCAATGTGTACAAACTTAGTGATGAGTATGAAAAGAGCAGCCAATCAAATGATCCCCATTGAGCTGCATTGTGCCCTAATGTGACCCACTTTATATTATTTTACCCTGTCTTATGCCAGAAATTGATTGTAAAATGTTCTTCCTCCTTGTCTTAATATTTCAATAATAGACCCAAAAATGTCTAAATGTAAAGAAAGCAAATTGGGGTGCATTGCAGCTTCACAGGTTAATTAATAATGGATTATTATAATGTTATAATCAAACACACAATCGATAGTACAAAGAACAAGACTTGTATTGTCTCGTATTAAACTCTCTATATCATGAATAAATACATTGTACTATAACACACCACAGAACATCTGAAACAACAATATTCTGAGCTGTTTTCGTTATCCCAAACTTTAATAAACTTGTTAAGGTGTAATGTGACTTTATTATTTTCTCTGTCTAACTCCTGATTATTTTACTCTAACACCAGACAATTTACTTGTCAAGGGGAGAGTCTTCTGTATTAATGGGTTAACATTTATCCTAATAATTATTATGCAATGTTAGATAAAAAGTATCAATTATCCAACTCTCATTTCTCTTATTCCCATATAGCTTCTTGTTGGTAAACCTGATGGGACATTCTTGCTGCGTGATAGTGCACACAAAGATCATCTATTTTCCGTAAGTTTCCGTCGCTACAACAAAACGCTTCATGCTCGCATTGAACAATGGGACCACAAGTACAGTTTTGACCATGAAAGCCCAGTTGCTTACTTCTCCATAACGATCGCGGGTTTATTGTCGCATTACTCGATCGGCGAGTACTGTATGTTTTTTGAACCAATGTTGGTGAAACCTTTAATCCGGACACAACCGCAGCCGCTTATGAGTTTGTGCCGAGGTGCGATTGGAAATTGTACAAGATACGAGGACATCGAAAAGCTGCCAATTCCGTCCTCACTCAAAACCTATTTGAAGGAATATAATTATTGTATTAAACCTAAATCAAAGAAAGACGAGGAAGGAAAACGGAAAAGAAATTCCACGCTGTGTATTGGTAGATAGTGTGCTGGATTTTGTACATTGACCAGCAAAGTATATAAATTGTAACTATACTGAACTCTGAACACTTCTGTTGATATTTATTGTATTTTCAATTGGTTTCATTGGAGGATGTTTATAAAGGGTTAACAAGCAAGGGTCCATTAGAATTCAGTATTTTGTTTATAAATGCAGGGTTATCAAGACAAACTTCTACTTTTCTGTATTGTAAAGACAGTTTACATTTGATCATTTGGTCATCTGCTGATATAAAGTATTTCTTTTACAGTGTAAAGCAACAAATATTTAGGGCTGGGCCTTGTAATTTTACAATAAATTGTAAGCTGGTCATGGTTAATTTGTTGTGGACTGTAAAACAGTACGAGTGTCTGTAATATTAAAAAAAAATTCTGTAATATTGTCGATAAAGCATGCTGTTTGGACCATTGAATGATTTGGACAGTCATATGAACATTGTGAGATAGAAACATAATATGTATTGTAAAGTATTTGACTTGTTGAGTCACGTTAGTATTTATATTATTACATAGGGCAGCAATTTGTCTGCCACAAATATTATGTGTGTGTAATTCATTTTGTAGCATCGTGCTGGTTGACATGGTGCCTTTGCATCTAAAGATGAACAGTTGTAACTTCCTTGTTTGAAATACAAGCATCAGATCAGATTATAGACAATGTTTCTATCTGTGACTGTACCTTGGATGCAAACAATTGTATATACATAATTATAATTTACAAAAGCTTAGAGCTTAATATATTAAAGTTTTAAAATCTTACAAGTGTGTCAACGACATAATAATTTTGTCTATTCATCAAAATGTTGCTCAGCAAATGTCTTTGCGTCTTGTATTCTGGCTCGATTACTGCAACGACTGGATGGTCTTGAACTATCACTCGATGATCTTGGACTATCCAGACTTTTCTGGGAATCTTGAGTTCCTGGCTGAGAACTTGACCCTGCATACAAGAAACTTCCTCTAGCCTTCGGCTCGGGGCTAAAGGTCTCTGATGAATTCTCGCTAGTTTCCTCTGGTAGTTTCTTCAGCAAATCGTATACAATGTCAAACTTAGAAGCAATCATGGACTCAAAGGAGTTTTGCTCTTGTATTGCTGCTGAGACCTGCTCTTCCAAATGCTTGGTGCTGACCATTTGTAACGCAGACACAGGCCGCATTGGTGGACGGTTTTTACCATGAGAAGACTGAGGTCTCTTGATTGGATTACCATTCAGAACCTCGAGCCTTGGCAAAGCTTTCAGGCAATTCTGATGGTCGAGTGATGCTGGATTGTAACACAGATTATCTGAAATGTTTAATTCTCGAAGCATAGTGCACTTTGATAAATCCTTGCATGAAGCATCCAGGCTATCCAATCTATTTGATGAAATATCCAAAACCTCAATAGATGGAAACTGCAATGGTAGCTTTTTGACACTAACAAGCTTGTTATTACCTGCATACAGTTGTTCCAAGGCTCTTACAGCCCCAGAAACATCAAAATCCTTAATGTCATTATGTTCTAGTCTAACAATCATTAATGATGGTAGGCTCTTAATTCCAGCTATACTTAACACATTGTTATAGCTTAAATCAAGTTCTTGCAGTTTCTTACACCTGCCAAGATCAGGAATTTTAGTAATCTTATTATGTGAGGCATAAAATTCCTCTAAATTTGGCAAACAATTAATAAATGAGATATCGCTCAATTTATTACTGGAGACGTTAAGAGATGTTAGTTTTGAGCATGCCGCAATTTCAGAGACAGAAATGGCTAAGATTTGATTGCAATCCACGCGTAAGGTTTTCAACTTTTTCAAACACTGAAGCCCTGTCCCAATTTTTGAGATGCTGTTGTCTTGTAACTGTAAAGAACAGAGCTCTTTTAATTTATCCAACCCCTCAACGTTTTTTATCTTGTTTGAATACAATTTAAGTTCTTTAAGTTCCACATTTTTCTCCAACGCTGTAACAGTCTTGATCTGGTTACAGGATAAGTCAAAACACCGTAGTTTAGTAAACTTTTCAAAATTTTCAATTTTAGTTAACTTTGAGGCATGCAAGTTTATTTCAAATACTCGCTCTGGGCTCGCTTCCTCGCACAGTAAGAGAGCATTTTCAACTTCTGTACGCCCACGACATTCAATACCGTCCTGAGTTGGTGAAATTTCTTCATTTTTGTTGGAAAATAAGTTGTTTTTATTGTGTTTACTGTAAACAACGCTCTTAGCAGTCGCCATGTTTTTTTTTGTGTAGACGACAATTTTAAAACACCATCGTCCAAAAGGAGTGTGATCTGTTATTAGGTGGCCTAACTTCTAGTACGAAAAACAATCGTAAACGTCTGAAAAAGGCTTTAATTTGCTTCTATTACACCTACGTATGAGTGTTAACGACTTTGGTCTTTAATTTCGCACCGTGTTAGTTAAAATTATAAAGTTTGAGACCGTTTTTAGCCATTTTCCTGTCCCAAATTAAGCACTACTTTTCAGCTCCGATTGTCTCTCGAGTGGATTCTGATGCGCGATATTTAGTATTGAAATTTGGGAAGACAAGATGGCGGACGACAGAGCAATGAGAGAAAGCGCGGAATCTTCAATAACTTCTATTTCTGCGGACGAAGCTGCGTTATATGATCGACAAATTCGTCTCTGGGGCTTAGATGCCCAGAAAAGGTATGGCGAATAGTTAAATTTTAATGTCAAAGAGTTATTTAATGTCTGTGAATGGAATACAAAACAAGACTAGTGTATTAAACTCCAAAGGACCAAAGATCGATAACATTTTTATATTTTAATATCATATTGATAAATATAAAAATGTTATCGATCTTTGGAGTTACACTTGTTTTGTATTTTGTTAAAATACTCTAAAAATTTCTGTGAATGGGCCTCTTCACTATAATTAATATAGTACTACCACATTTGGTACTACACGTGCTACTGTTGTACCTCCCCTACGGAGGAAATTGGAAGGTAACCCCATACCTCCTTGGTATCCAAGTACACATACTATTATCAGAAACAAATTTTCTCCACACCAACCCCCCCTTGACTGCAGAAATTTTCTCAGTGCGTGGAATGTAGATCCTTTCTGGACAAGTGGGTAACTCAGTGGGTTAAACTGACTTTCATTTTAGAGTTGACCATTGTGACCATGTTACACTTGGTAGAACCTTTCTATGGTTTGATTTTAGGCTCCGTGCATCAAGAGTTCTTCTTGTGGGTCTAACTGGCCTTGGTGCAGAGATTTGTAAGAACATTGTACTATGTGGTGTGAAGTCATTGACACTTCTTGATGATGAAGTAGTAACGATGCAAGATTTTACTGCTCAGTTTTTAATTCCCAGGATGGATCTTGGAAAAAATGTAAGAACTGTACATCATAAGGGTTGTGAGATCTCAGTTGTAATTAGGTTACGCGCTCCAAAACGAATCCCACAAATAAGATTTCAAAATAGAAGAACCTGTAAACCCTAATGCACTCTCCTCACAAATTTCTCCCCTGCCCAAAATCTGTGAAATATAATTCTCCCAATATAACCTTGCAGGCTGTGTAAACCTCCAAAAGTTGAAAGATAAACTCCTCCCAATGTAACTGTCTTTCAAAATCTTCAAGAAAATACTTTCATTAGACAATTCCCATTATAATAGACTAATTTTAAAACTATAAGGCAAGGAGATGCAAATAAATCACCACAGCTAGAAAGAGCATACAAAATAAGTACAATTACAAAGTTTGGTTCCGAAATGTTGTAAAATGCGGAAAATATAGCCTCGCAAAGTTCGCAAATTTTCTATACTTGTATTGCGTGCGAAAATTGCTCCCATTTTTGGCCCAAATGTGGTAGCAATTTCCGCACGCAATACCAACTTTGCAAGACTATATTTTCCGCATTTTACAACATTTCACAGCCTAGTTTTAAAATTAGTCTATAATGGGAATTGTCTATTTGGAGATAGAATGGTTCTACCCATTTGTCCACCCCTAGCCTGCGTAGCCGGCAGTTTTAAGGGTTGGGGTTGAGGCGCGGGCAACGAGCCTCCCTAAATTTCATTGCCCGTGCCTCAACCCTTAAAACCGCCGGCTATGCAGGCTATCCACCCCAGGTCTCTGTCACTGTAGGCTCTGTGAACTGAAAATAATGAGTTTTGAAAACAAGTAATTTTGTGTTCAATTGATTGTGCAGCGTGCAGAAGCCTGTCTTGTCCGAGCACAAAGGTTGAATCCTATGGTGGAAATAAAATGTGATACAGAGCCAGTCATGAAGAAATCCAGAGAATATTTTGAACAATTTGATGTTGTCATTTTGACTGGATGTGTTCGGGAAGTGATGGTAAGGCAAAGCATTGAAAAGATTTTTTGAAAATACAATCTGGCGTTTGTCGAGTTGAATATGGCTGGTCGCATTAATACGTGCTCTATAAGTTTTTGCTTTATTTTCTGCTTTTTTCTGATATTTGGCGGAAAATCTAGAAGAAATGGAGCTGAAATCATACCATGGAATGATGGCAGTGCTTATTTTGTCTGCCAAACCGTTATTGCGAGCAGATTTGGTGGAAGTTGTCTACGTGCTGGCCAAAATGACCGCCATTTTGACAACTGGTTTGCTGTTTATCATGCTTGCAAACTTGTTCAACACGCTTCCTTGGGTTTGATGTTGGTCGCTCTTTCCGGAGATATTGAAGTAAACCCTGGCTACCATCATGTTGAAGACCTTAAGGATATTAAAGGCTTAAAGATAGCTCACCTAAATGTGCAAAGTGTCAGGAATAAGGTCGACTTACTTCGCCTTGAGATAACTAATGATAAAGTGTTTGACATTCTCACTTTATCCGAAACCTGGCTGAATGACTCTATTTCGGACATGGAAATTCAAATGCCTGGTTATTGTGTTATTCGTAAAGACAGATCAGGAAATAGGCTTGGTGGTGGCACGATTGTTTACATTCGTGACGGGTTGCCTTTTAGTATTTGCAATGACTTGAACACTGATGATAATGAATGCCTTTGGATTCAAATTTCTCGGCCCAAGTGCAAGCCTATATTTCTTTGTAGTGTTTATAGACCACCGAACTCTGATTTGGCGAGGTTTATTTCCTCTATGGAGAACAGTATAGCAAATATTGGCCCCAAGAACTGTGATATAGTATTGCTTGGTGATTTTAACGTAGATTTTACTCCGGTTAAAGGGAAATCAAATCCCGCGAAAAAATTTTTGACGGATTTTGCAAGATCGATGGGCCTAAACCAATTAATTAAAGAAGCTACTAGAGTCACTGACTCGTCACAAACAATGATTGACTTAATCTTTGTAAACAATGAGCACCGTTTTGTTGCAGATGGAGTCATACCCTTAACGATTAGCGACCATTCATTGATCTATTGTAGTCTGAAAGTGGGCGCGCCAAAAGGGACCCCTAGAACAATAGAATATCGTTCATACAAATCCTACTACCGTATCTCCTTTGTACAAGATTTAAAAAACATTCCATGGCACTTAGTCGCTGACGAAGATGACATTAATGATGCAGTCTCCACTTGGAATGCTCTGTTTCTGGATGTAGCAAACAACCATGCGCCAATTAAGAAACAACGCGTAAATGGAATAAATTCACCCTGGATGACTTCCGAAATCAGCGATTTAATGCGTGAACGCGACTATTATCATCGAAAGGCAAGAAAATCAGGCTCTCCTGATCACTGGCAATCATATAAAAACTCTCGGAACCTTGTGAATAAAGAAATTAAAGCTAGCAAGTCAAAATATTACATCAATCTGATCGAGGAATGTAAAGGTGACTCCAAGAAGCTATGGAATGCTGTTAACGAAGCATCTTCTAGGAAATGTCAATCGTCCAACCCAACTTGCATTATCTCGGATGGAGTTGAATATACAAACAATAAATCGATTGCTTCTATTTTGAACAAACATTTCGCTACTATAGGTCAATATCTTGCCGAGAAGCTACCCGCTATAACACCAAGTTATGCATCAAGTTACTATCTATCTAATGGTCAACATTTTAATATCCTTCCCGTTGATGAATCTTTCGTTATTAAACATCTAAAATCTCTCAAAGCTTCGAAAGCAACTGGTTTGGACAAGATAAATATAAAGCTACTTAAAGATGCATCAGAAATAATTGCTCCTTCGATTACAAAGCTCATAAAATCCATTCAAAATCATACATTCCCTTCAAGTTGGAAATGTTCGAAGGTCTTTCCTTTGTACAAATCTGGGGACAGAGCGAACGCAACTAATTACCGTCCAATATCAGTTCTACCTGCATTGAGCAAGTTAATGGAAAAAGCTGTTTATACTCAACTTTATGATTATTTAACAGAACATAACATTCTCAATGATAATCAATTTGGTTTTCGCCGAAAGTGTTCCACAACAACAGCACTCTCGAGTTTTGCTGACGAGATTCTGGCCAGTATGGAAAAGGGAGAAGTGTGCGGTGCCGTGTTTTTGGACCTGTCCAAGGCCTTCGACACGGTCGATCACGCTGTTATGCTGAAGAAATTATCTGCCATTGGTGTTTCTACTGAAGATATAGCATGGTTTGCTTCCTATCTAAGTTTTCGATCGCTTCGAACTACTTGCGGTCCTGAGCTGTCTGAACCATTACGCTGTAACTTTGGTGTCCCACAGGGCAGTATTCTTGGCCCTTTACTCTTTTTGATTTATATCAACGAGATACCAAGTTTCATTAAACATGCACAATTATCTCTTTACGCAGACGATACTGTCCTGTATTACTTTTCTAACACCTCGCAGGATCTGGAGGAGAAACTAAATGCCGACCTGCGTAATGTTTGTGTTTGGCTTAATGAGAATAAACTAACTTTGAATACAAAAAAGACCAAATTCATGATCATTGGGAGTAGCCGTAAACTTTCTAATATTGATTCCGTCACAGTCAAGGTAGCTGGCAGTAATATAGAAAGAGTCGAAGAATTCTCGTATCTTGGAATAAATTTTTCAACTAATATGACCTGGACTGAACATGTTAACCAACTCTGTTCAAAGATCAGCAAACGCCTGGGGCTCCTGAAGAGAATTAAGCATCTGCTACCGCGATACGCAAGACTACTTTTTTACAAGAGTCTTATTTTACCTCTGTTTGACTACGGCGACCTGGTATGGGGGGATAAGAACAATGACGTACTGATGGGCAATTTACAAATTCTCCAAAACAAAGCAGCAAAAATCATCCTTGACTATCACCCACTTTCTTCGTCTAGTGCTGCGCTGGATGAGTTGGGATGGAACAGGCTTCACCAACGTCGATTTTATCATAGATGTTTATTCATTTTTAAATGTTTGAATGGGCTATCTATGTCTAAGTTAATCTTGAAATCGCTAAGCGAACTTCATTCCTATAACACTAGAAATAAGAACAATTTATGCTTGCCTAAAGTTAAACGAAATTGGGGCAAGCAAAGGCTCGAGTACCATGCAGTAAACGATTGGAACACTCTTGACGAAGAGACTAGACATTCAGACTCGATTGCTAAGTTCAAAATGAACTATTTTAAAACTCACTAGTGCTGAATTATAACACTCATAGCATGCTGACGTATATATACTCTTTGAATTCTATTTAGTTACTATTTTTATTGTTGTAGATAGCTCACAGCTCTTAGTCTTACTTGTAATTTAAACACTAGGCATACTTTTATTGATTTTTAACGTTAACCTTATTGTAATGTGATGGATTTGGTTTTTATGACTCATATTTATATATGTATATTTTTAAATATAGGACCTCTCTGAAAATCACTTTACGTGAGAGAGTTTCCTATTTAAATATTGTCATAAATAAATAAATTAGTAATGGATCATGTTTAGAGGGTTTTTCCATTTGTTGTTGTTGTTGTTGTTGTTGTTGTTATTGTTGAATATAATTAACAGAATTGTCAACTAGATATTTTTCTTTTGTTGAAACGAAAAATCCCAAAGTAAATTATTTTCCCATAAATGTTTTGTGTTAGATTCACGTGAATACAATCTGTCATGAAAAGAAAATCAAATTTTATGCGGGTGATGTCTTTGGGTATTTTGGATACACGTTCAATGATTTAGTGGAACATAAATATGTTGAGTAAGTGGACTTGCATGTATTTCTAGTGGAAAATTTGTTACCAACCTTCAAGACTAATTATCCAATTGCGTTCACGTTTAGAGAACAAAAGACGTCAAGCGGAATAAATCTTACAGTGAGCGAGGGTCCACCAGCAAAGAAGAAACCAAAACAAGAAGAAATTCACACTATTATGGTTGAAAAGGTAAATGTTGTTTGTGCGAATGTGTGTCTCATACTTTTTTACTTGTTTCTTTCTGTTTGACTCTTGTTTTTTTCTGTAAAGTTTTTAGAATTCAACTCACTAAAAGACGCATTAGAGACATCGTGGGTGAAAAATCAGAAGCCAAAATCTTTGAAAAGGATATCAAAAGTTTTCTTTATATTTCAAGGTAAAACAAAGCATATACTGTACAGTCACCAGTCGCAAAATAATGCTGCAAATCCTCATGTACTTTGCTTTCCCCCTGCAATAACATTAAATCAAAAAGCTTAGCTGTAAACTAAAAAGCTTTTGAAACATGTATCTCAATATATTCTCATATTTCTCTTTATTTCAGTGTTATTAAGATTTCAAGAAAAATACAGACGAAATCCAGAAGGTTCGACGTCAGAACAAGACATAGACGATCTTCTCAAGATGAAGAATGAAGTGTTTGAATCTTTGGACATTAGTCAAGATCTTGTATTAGAAGATTTTGCCAGGTCTGTTTGTGGTATCAATACATCAGGTCATTTTAACTCTTTCCTGTACCACAGATTTTCCACTGCACACTGAAGACCACAATTCTAAAAAATCATTTCTGAATGCTCTCCTTTGATCTTCAGGCATTGTATAGGAACGCTAAGTCCAACAAGTGCGATTTTGGGTGGGATTCTAGCACAGGATGTTATCAAGGTAAAAACCAAGCAACAACAACTAGATCAGTTCAATTTCAGACTTGTGATTATTCCCGCTGTAGTATGGTACATATGTGACTAGTGTAGGTAGTATTCTTCAATAAGCTGCTGTGGTTCGTGTCTGCAAGGACCATTCATGGCTTCATTACAAAAGAAATTGTGTGTCTGAACCAGGAAACAAAAAGGCTTCGCTCAAAACGTGTTTTAATATTTGTCGCGTCATTTTTTAGGCTCTTTCAGGGAAAGACGCACCAATCGATAATTTCTTTTTCTTTGATGGTCGAACTGGTGAAGGCATGGTGGAATCTTTGCCAATAAAATATTGACATGAGCTGAACATATCCTTTTATACATGTATATATATATTTACTCTTGATTGTCAATGTATCAGCGTAATCTTGTTTCCCAGATAGACCCTGCTAACAAGATGAATTTTGGACATTACAATTTACAATCCAAAGACAATGGTTTGCCACCAGCTGAGCTGGCACTAGCAGTGTAAGCGGCTCCGCTGGCTATAAACAAAGACTCTCCCCAAGGATTAAAGTCAACTGGCCTTAAGCAGAATAGGATTGCAAGCTGTACATTACAGGGCTTTAGATTTGACTAGGAGTACAGTATTTGCACAACAGTCATGTTATATATTTTGTTGTTGTCACGGCTTGCATGCTAGTTATTGCAACAGTAGAATTATTTTCATAAAAGATTATTATATGTCAAGGTTTGATATAAAGAAAAGAATATTTATGAAGTCACTACACAATGTTTCGTTGTACATAAAGCGACTGTGCAGTAAGTGACATATGATTGATTCTCAAGTTTCTGAAATTTAATGACTTAGTTTTTGGTATTGCAGTATAAAATTTATTGTATGTTGAATCCACTTTTATAGACCTCACTAATTATGGTAAATTTACCAAAAGAACATTTCATTTTCAACTGAAGTACTCTAATGCAGTCCGTGCTTTTTCCATCTCGTGCAAAAATGAATAAAATTGGGGCAAAGTTAGTTCCATGTAAACATCCTCTTTCTTGCCGCCTTTATCGACCACAAGTTTAAGTTGCAAAAACGAGTTGCCGACAACCTTCATATCGCTGCTAGCGGCAGTGACACCAAACTTCCATTCCATGTCGACCAGGGGATTGACCATAAAGGTCTGCGCCATGACGGAACGAGATAGCCCAATCAGGTTGGATTTCCAGGATTCCAAAAGATAAGGGGTTTTCTCTTTTGATAAGCCTAAATACAAAGTATGCTGATTGTTACATAACAATTCGCATCCCACCCTAGACCCAACTTTGCACCAGTTATGGTTGTGTTATTTCAGGGGGGAGGGGGGGGGGGTGATATCAAATCCTTTTTGGGGAGGTGGTGTTATTTATCAATTAACTACATAAGGATGTAGCCAGGGTTAAATCCAGTTTCATGTCACAGGACAGGAGGTATCCCATGGGCTGTGGACACTTGAGCTCCTAGAGGATGGAGGGCAGAGGGCACACTTCCAAAATTCACTAAAATTGTAACCTATATAAAGTTTATCTAGCCACTATCATCAAGCTTGTACCTAAGTTTTCCATATCCTCCTGCACATACTGTGCTGATAGATTTTGTTTCGCCGCGCATTTGAAGAAAGTCAACAATGTTTTTGTGATATTTTTCAACGGGTTCAGACTTGCCCCATGTTCCTGCGCGAATGACTCGAGATCTGAGAGAAATCGCTCGCCATCTGTAGATCCTATCAAGAAATGCAGCACTAGATCTACAAACTTCTTAAATCCTTCATCGTTAAACTTATTTAAAGCTTTAACATCACTGAACATTTGATTTCCTGGCGTTTCTTTCGTGAAATGGAACGTCACATTTGCAGCCATTTTGTTGTTTTTCTGCTTTCTGTTTCCACTTCTCTAAAATATTTCTTCGACAAAAATCTATTGCGGAGAAAATCTTCAATTATTCAAAGTGGAAGCTGGATCCATGAAGGAATTTTATATCCACGTTTGCACCTGAATGATAACATATATTCCTATATATACCTTTTTACTCGTCAATTACCACATATATCCTAAATATTAGCCTTGTGTACCTTCGTACTCAAATTTATCCCTATTTGTTCTTATATGACTATTTGTGTACCCTAATAACACTATTTATCCCATATGACCTAATTGTATACCTATTTATCCCAATTTACTCTTGTGTGATCCAATTGTGCACCTTTGTAATTACCCCTATCCCTATTTATCCATATACGATTCATTCGTGTACCTTAGTAGCCGTGTATTAGTCCCTATAATAACCCATTATGTACCTTAATAATTCCCCAAATTCCCAACTACCCTTGTATATCCACATAAAGTAACAAAAATCCCCAAATATCCCAACTTTCGTGCCCAAGCCTATTATTTAGTGACACGATATCAAGAGAAAACATTTTAGAAGACTTAGAAAATTTATAAAAGTTCAACAAAACGCACGTGATTTTTAAAGTATCGAAATATTTACAATGGTTCTTTTGGAAAACGAAGCAGTAAGTATTTGCTGTGAAAATCCTTCTTTTATACGTAGGATCGTTATGTGGCTTATAACTACACTATACAATCGAAAATGGCAAAAGTGTTGTCCATCAAGTCTTTGTTTATATATTTTAGTTTTTAACTCGACTCACATATCTCTATAACAAGACGAGGACGTCAGGAACTGTCTGGATTACAATGAAAGCATGTAAGTTTTGTTTTATACAGGTATATAACTTGTACTTTTAGATCAGTTTGTCCCAAGTTTCTATAAACCAGTTCACCAGAAGCTCTGAATTCAGGGAAGTTTTCATTTAGGGGGGGGGGGGGTGAGGTGGTTTACCAGATTTGACTTGATTCACCAAGATGAACTTTTTCCTAGATAACGGCAGAACAAAGCCAATACCACGAAGAAAGAAAAAAGATAAAAATGCTTTACTGGAGATGGAGGGAAGCGAAAGTAAATGTCTTATTAGAGCAACAAATGGAAAAAAGAAGATCAGTACAGTGGTAAGGAGAAATTGTGATACATTTTGTAGTTTGGGACAAGTTGTTTGTTGCGTGTTATTTATTCCACAGATACTTGCTTACTTGACATAACAAATTGTTTATTTTCAGATTAATTCAAAAGATGTAAACAGATTTCAACAGGTAATAATTGTAGTAAGTTTTGGGATTCATACATCTGAAGTACGGTATCATCGTTTATTGTGATATTATTATTAAACCCTATCTGGTTATTCACCATCTTTTGATTCATTTCACTCCAGGCATATACAAGCGTACTAAAGGGATGCCTTGATAATTTAAAGAAACGAGAAAGAAAGACGGCGAAAAGCAAGAAAGCAAAGGCAACTCAATGAATTCTGCAGCCATTATAAAGTATACAGTGATACACTGTGCTGTAGATAGTCAACTTCTCAAGCCAGGCTTTTTCTATCTTCGCTCGTGTGGTTTTCTAAAATATGCTCAGGACTAGCAAAGATAAAGAGCGTCGCTTGTATGGCGTGCACAGTGCACACAGCTAGTTCATTGAAGTTTTCCCAAACCTGAATAGTTGGCCTATCCAACAAACATATACAGCCTACGAATACAGCTGTGTCACATTGGGTGGTTTCAATACACTGCCCGAGAGAGATGGCTGTATTTGCAGGCTAACAAACACATTGTGAATGGAGGGATAAACATACATGAATTAGCTATACAGGGTGTATAAAAAAAACTGAACAGATTTGAAATTGCTCTCAATTTCGCAAAACGCCTATTTGTATCTGGTTTTTATATATATAGCTTCTTTCGGTACTTATAATGTAAAATAATGAAAAATATTTCTCGAACTCAAATTTTGTGAACCAGGGGGGGGTGTCTTTTCCAACAAATTAAAAATGGCTCGCGCACAAAATTTAAAAGCTGTAATCATATTTTGAGTTAATAGATTGAAAATTTGTCGGGTTTTTAATTACTGTACAAAATTTCAGACAATTTGGTTTAGTTTAAACCCTTTAACTATTCATTTTGTTCTAAAAAGTCAGCCTTTCGCATGCTTAATTAATGCCTTTACCTAATTTGCATATTGCTGACATATGCAAATTAGGCAAATGCATTAATTAAGCATGCAAATAGCTGATTTTTCGGGAAAATTGTAACTTTGCGTGAATAGTTAAGGGGCTTAAACTAAACCAAATTGTCTGAAATTTTGTACAGTAATTAAAATCCCGACAAATGTTCCATCTGTTAACTCGAAATATGATTGCAGCTTTTAAATTTTGTGCGCGAGCCATTTTTAGTTTGTTGGAAAAGACACCCCCCCCCTGGTTCACAAAATTTGAGTTCGAGAAATTTTTCTCATTATTCCACATTATAAGTACCCAAAGAGGCTATATATATAAAAGACCGGATACAAATAGCTGTTTTTTTAAATCTGTTCAGTTTTTTTTTATACACCCTGTATATATATATATATATATATATATATATATATATATATATATATATATATATATATATATATATATATATATATATATATATATATATATATATATATATATATATATATATAGACCGAACAATATGGTTATTCATTTATTTAACTGTTAGTAAAGTATATCTAGATACTCGAACCAAAAGAATTTATTTATTGATGAGATGTGGCATGGAATTGCAACGAAATAGCGAGATCTTTTGATTTCCGAAATATCGCCAAGACGCCAACTGTATCCAGATTGTTGACTATAAAAGCTTATAAAACTTCCTGCATTGGCCCTTGGCATTGCTGAAACTCAACAATCATGGTATATGTTAAAGTCTAGCTGTCTGTTGAAAATCTACAGTATTAAAATCATACATCAAAGATAAGTCAAACGACATGCAGTATACTATATTATGTCTTTCAATGGGCACTTTATATTAATAGTAGTGTTTACAACATTTATAAATTTTATAAACAGCTTTCGTTTT